TGGCAGCAGGGCCCATTCATTAGGGGAGCAGCGATCCAGCTAACGGAGCCGGGCCAGACGCGTTAATTAGCGCTGGTGCACCCGCGACCAGGCAGGGGAGGGCTGGCGTGGGCTGGGCGCCTGGCGATGTGCCACCATGGGTCTGGGGGCAAAGGGCTCTCACGGTGGGGAGCCAGGAGATGACCGGGGGCACGGCCTTGCTGCCTGCCCTGCAGCACTCACTGAGGCCACGTTGACGTAGTCGTCGTCTGAGAGGGTGTCCAGCATCTCATAGACCGAGGTCTTCATCAGCTTGAGGGTGAGGCCACTCACGCTGCCGCTCCTGCCGGGAGAGAGGGGCGCTGGGGGCTCGGCAGTGAGGGGGCACAGGGCTCCCCACGGCCACCGGTGGAACAGTGACACCCTGAGGGCTGCGCCACTGCCCTGGCCTGGGTCAGCCCAGCAACCACGCGGGTACTCACACGTCCACAATGATGACCATGTCCTTCGGGGAGGAGGCTCCTTGGATGTACCTGCAGGGCACAGAGGGGGTCAGCAGGGTCGACTCGTTTTGAGGACGACCCCCAAGAGCAAAGCTCTGCCTGGTCACGGGTGGTGGGGCTGTGGTGACCCCGCAGCGTGGAACGGGGCTGAGCTGGTGAGGATGTGACACGACGCAGCACGGCTGCCAGCGACCGCTCGGTACCATGTCAGCCTAATGAGCTCTAAATGCTAAACTCTTCCATCATCGCGGGCCCTTTCTGCGTGCTGATTATGCTGACACACACATCCATATTAAGATGCTATTTACCCCCCTGGTGGCTTCAAAGGCCAGGCTGATTAGGTTATTTTTAGCTACCAGGAGGAAAAATAATAATGCTATGTAAATCCTTCCCCCCTGAAAACAATTAGGGAACCCTTCCTCACCCCTTGAAGCACCCGGTCGTGCTCCCAGCCCCACTGTACCATCCTGTGTGGGACAGCACCAGTGCGGTGCTGAGCACCCATCCCAGCGAGGGCCAGGCACAGCCCAGCCTCCTCACCCCATGGTGTGGGTCTGGTTCTGCCACGGCTGAAGTCCACAGGAGCCTCATTATTGGCCTGATCAGGATCAGGCCTGATGCAAATTAATTAGTGTGTTATTAGTACCAATTACTCACCATTACTGGGGAGGGGGCAGGCTCTGATTGCTAATCCCAGATCCTGATGTTCCCTAATTACAAGTGATTACCCAGGCGGGCTGTGGGATCCTGGCACGTGGGGCCCTCCTGGCGTGGGTGCTGCGTGTCCCCGTGCTGGGGTACGGGATGGGAGCTGCGGGGTCCCTGCAAGCTGGCGGGGGGCTCGGTGCCTGCCACTGCAGCCCAACTAAGACGCTGCCTGTAATGGGTTGTGGCAGAGCATCCATCTCAGGCTGCCCCGCTCGGATGGATCCCCTGGGCTCGGCGGGAGAAGGCTGTGCTTAATTGCACCATTCATCAAGGGAGGGGAAGCTGCAGCAGTGGCTCTGCCGAGGCTGCAGACAGGACTGTGGCCCCCGCTGGTCCCGGCAAGGGCCCTGTGCCACAGCAGACCCCAGTGAGAGGGTGCGAGAGTACTCCAAAGGGGTGTCCCCGGGGTGTGCTGCCCCCAGACACGATGGGTGCTGCTGCTCCTCCACGTCTGGGTGGGCAAGTGGGTGGCCAGCCTGGCCAGTGGGCTTCAGCTGGGGTAGTTGGGCTCTGTAGCCCCATACACATCAGCAGCCCCCACCCTGAAACACCCTTCCAGTTCCCCCTCTGCCAATAACCCGCACAGACGCGCAGGCAGAGGACAGTTAATAATTAATGTGGAGCAATCAAAGCCAATTAACCATAGCAGCAGGGCCATTAATTTTCTGACAGGGAGAGGGGGCAGCTCCCAGTGCAGGCAGGGGCCAGGCAAGGGGTGCTCCCCTGGGATGCTGGGCTCTGGGGGCACCTGCTGGAGACTTGTGCTGGCTTCCTCTCCATACCCACATTTTTAGGCAGCAACCGTGGGGAGGACCGGGCCACAGCTCCCCTAACTCTCACCTAACCCCAGCCTGGTGCTCCCTGCCCGTTTCTCTCCCCATCTTGGTCATGGTTTCTGAGAGCCAGTTGTTTTCCCGTCTGGATGGGAATGCCAGGGCTGAGTGCTGGCAACCATGGCTGCAGCAGGGAGCAGGAAAAGGGGTGGCTGTGTCCAAGGGTTTATCTCTCCATCCCACCCTGCCTTCCCGGGATCAGGGAAAGGGAGCGGGAACCGAGAGCCACAGCTTGGATGCCCTTGCCTGTGTTACGGTGTCTGTTTGCCAATGCCAACCATGTGTGAAATGGAAAGGGGAGGGAGCTGGTG